CCTTATACTTAAAGTAAATCCTTCAGAAATTATTTTAGTAAGGATTTACCAATGTTTTGCAATAACTGTGCTTGACCTTGGCTTATTAATCAATTAACCTTGGCTTATTAATCAATTAATTAATTAATTTTGAAATAATAAGGTTTAACCTCGGGGTGTCATGATTGAACAACATCTCCAGCCCTTTTGGCTCTACTAATTTTTGATATAGGTTCTCAATTTTTTGTACAAGCTGACCTGTACCACAATCCTATTCTATGATTCCTGCCATTGCTGGGATGATAGGTATAAGCCACTGTTCCTAGCGTTTTTCCATGGACATGGAGTCTTTCAAATATTTTAACCCAAGCTGGCCTTGGAAACTTGATCTTCCAATCTCAGCCTTTCATATGGCTGGGATGAGAGGTACATACTTCTATACCCAGTTATTGGTTGAGATAGAATCTTACAAACTCTTTGCCCAGTCTGGCCTCACACTGTGATCATCTCAGTTTCTACCTCAAAGTAACTAGAATGATAGACATGAGTTACTGAGGCATGGCTTACTAGATTGACAATTATCTTCTCAGTATATTGAAGATATCATTCCATTACTTATTAGCTTCAATAGTTGTGGTTGAAAGGTTAGTTGTTATTCTATTATTTTTTTGTACTCTTGCTCTTCTTACTGCTATGTGCTGTAAATTTTTTTTGCCTTGGGGTTGTGTGGTTCCATTAGATGATATGTCCTTTCATTTTTTCAGTACTAGGGATCAAACCCAGGATATTGCAATTGCTAGGCAAGCACTTTGCCACTGAGTGACATCCCAGCCCAGATGATATTCATATTTATATTGTTGTGGATATGCTGAATTTCTCAAACTGAGGATTTGAAAAAAATTAAGGCATAATTTACTCACATATTGCTTTTGCCTGATCTGTTCCTCTTAACACCTCCACCTGGAGTTATAAGATATCAGACTTTCTCCCTCACTTCACATACTTGTAAACCTTTCCCTGTCATCCTTCCTCTCTTATCTTTTAATTTGTCTCTGGCTTATTTTGAATTATTTATTTAGATCTATTTTCCAGTTTTCTAGTTTTATTACTTTAATAATGTTCATGTAGGCATTTAATTTATCCATTGAACTTTCTGTTTCATTTTTATAGTATTAATGTTTGATATTCTGTTTTTATCCCAAAGCAACTGAATAGTATAGTTTAAAAAGTCTCTAAAGGATCATCTGCTGAGGCCTTGGTGCCAAGCCTATGACACTGTTGAAAGGTGATTGGATCAGAAGAGTACTAATGCCACCAATGGATCCATCTGTTGTTGAAGTCTTAGTTGAGTTAGAGGTGGGGTTTAGTTGGAACATGTAGGCAACTGAGGATATGTCTTTGAAGTATATGCCTTGCCAGTGGCTCCTCTGTCTTTCTACTTCTTAGCAGCCCTGAGAACAGCTCTACTCCATTATGCTAGAGGATGCAGCTTTACCATGGACTGGAAACAATGAAGCCGAGTGACCATAGATCGAAACCATGAATAAAAATAAATCTGTAAGTTTTTTCCGTCAGGGGCTGAAAACCAACATTGATCATTTGTATAAAATCTTGTTTCTTACTCATATTTTCAGTCTCCTACCAAATTAAGTATATTATACAACAGATTTTATATCCTGTGTCTGATTGATTTTGTACTTGAAGAATTTATGGATCAAATGTGACTGTTCACTACTTTTGAAGTGTTAGCTCCTGGTAGTTTTGATTTTTTTCCTGTCTAGTTTTTGTTTTTTTGTGTGCTGTTTTTAAATTTTTGAACTTGGATTACTTAAGACTCTAGCTGTGTGTACTTTTGTAGCTTGAGTTAAAAGAGTCTTTTTCCAGACAGAATTCATACTTGATATGGACAAAATAGGCCTTGGGATCCCAAATCTATGGAAGGTGAAGGAAACCTGTTCTGTAGTTGAGAAAACATAAGACTACGAGGTATTAATTTCTTCAGATATAATATTCATCTATATCACATAAATTTTGGCCTCTATCTTAGTTTCTTTGGGCTGTTAACCAGATTGTTCAATTAACACAAATTTGAGATGTTTTTGGTAGAGCCAGGTTTTCTCTAAGGCCTCTAGGGAAGGATCCTTCCATATCCCTTCCATGGCTTGTGGCATCATGACCCTAGTTTTTATTCACATGGCCACCTTCTTTCCATGTCTGCCTATGTCTACTTGTTCCAAGGATACTAATCATATCAGATTAGTGCCCACCAGTGTTGACTTCACCTAAACCTGATTATATCTGCATAAAACCTCATTCCAAATGAAACTTCATTCACAGCTAAAGGAGGGTAAGAGTTCATATTTTTAGAGAGACTCACCTGAACTCATAAAAATTTTTAACAATTTCTTGCTTCCTTGCCAGCTCATGAACACAGTTTTATATGCTTTAGAACTTTTATAATCATGAAGCATGCAATCATTCTATCTTCTACTATATGTCAGCTCTTATTTCACAGTCAATTCATTCTGCCACAGCAATTCTTTCCCCTTTTCCATTGCCTTATGGACTTAGAAACCAGAAAAGAAAGTCATAGTAGAACTGAGTTTAAAATAAGAGTAAGACTTTAAATGGGTACATGGGAGACATGATTGTGAATAAAAGAGAAGAAAAGTACTTCATAGACATTTAATATATTCTGGGGTTGCTCAAAGGGCTTTTATTCTTGGATAAGTAACTGTGGTCTATGTATTAAATCATTATGATCTGGAGTTGGATCCTTTGTCTATATTTTATGTGTTACATGACCTTGAAAACATTCCGGGTTTTTTTCAACTGAATAAAGGGGAGAGGTCATTAAAAAGTCTACTTTTCAGTTAGATAGATATGGATACATGACATAAGAACAATGCTTAGCTTCTTTCTTGGCTCAGAACACTCAACAATTATGAAAACAACTTTATCTCTATGTTCCAAAATACATAACAGCTTTGAGTAAGTAGTCTCTGGATAAGTAAGGTATGAAAAGTAACACCTTTCAGTTTTACACACAATTCAGAGGTAATAATTAGCCATATGATGTCTTTTGAAGAAACTGAGGCATTGAGAGTTACAGCTTGTAAACATGAAAACAGACACAATAGCAACACAAATGAGAATATCTGGCAAGGTGATGGTCCATTGACCGTACACCATTGACCATACACCATTGCTGTATTCCTTCAAGTAGAAACCACAACTCAGATTACCCAGGCTCTCCTTGGTGTATTCAATTCTACTAGCTAACAGGGTTCTGGGTTCAGGGTTAAAAGCCACCTTTGTTTCAACTCCAGTCACACTTCCTCTCTGACAAGTAGGAGGGAAGCCATATAGAGGAAAAAAAGCCAGACAACATTTTATACTGTATTTTAAATCCTGAACACGAAACCATCCATACGTATTTTAACACATTTGAGAGCCTCATCCAGGCCCACATTCCAGAATAGTATTATAATTTAAGGAAGGAAAAGCCAGAAATCTCCACCACTTTGTGATTGACTCACACACATGTTGGAAACAGAGTTCACAAATCTAATTTCTTTCTGCATTCCAGGACATTTTTATCCAGAGAACACAAGTGACCGGAGGCGGTGCTCAGCCTGCTCAGCCAATTCCTGACAGCAGCTCCCAGTGAAACAGATTGTGTTTGGGGGCAAGCATTTATCCAAGAGCTGTGCTGAAATGAGATGGTGAGGACGCAGACGGTGAAAAAATGGCCAGTGGAAGGAGAGCTGGAGAAATGAGGGTGATTATGCAGGCACTGTCCTCTGTGAATACATTAGCTCCCAGGCAGCCTATGCATTTCCACTGCCTCTAAGCAATTTCTTGGAGTTTCAGTGAATACAGGTGTCTGGAAGTGTTTTCTAAGCCCAGCTTCATACAGGCTGTTCCTATGGGCAGCCTTCAAAGCCCTAGTATTAAATCCTCAGACAAGTTGAAGTCCTTCTGCCAAGCACTGTCAGGTCCCATAGGTACTATGAGATGCTCACTATAGTTGCTTGGTTAGGGCTCATTCAGGTGAGGGTCAAGCGCTACTTAGGGTCAGCCGTCTGTCTCATGGAGTAGGCAGCAGGAAGAGGCTAGACCAGGCCCAGACACTATGGGCAAAATGATAAAGTGGATCACTACTTAGAACTAGCCAGACGCTGGAGGAGGTTTCCTCCAGATCTGTGCAAACAGCTGGTCTGAGGAAGGAAATCTCAGATGAGAGCTATGAACACCAGAAGGCATGAGGTCCTCTCCAAAAGTTCCCAAGCCTGTAGTACATAGGTGTTATCAATCCATAGACTATTGGAATGATCATAGGGACACACTGTAACTCAAACAATGAGCATGTTAGGGACACTTTCTGGACATGGACATCTCCTTCACTGTATCCATCATTGTATTACTGCCAGACTTTATGTGTCCCTCTAGAAATCAATCCGTAGGTCAGGGAAAAGAAATCAGAAAGCCTAGGAACTATGTCCAAAGGGTGAGAAACAAAATGGCACCTATCAGGGAGTCACACCATAGGCTGACATTTGCAAAGGATGGGCTGACACCCTTTAGGCAGGATGGGTGGCTACCTCAGGCAAATGGTCTATGGCAGAAATGGTCCTATAGATCTGGCCAACAGTGGTGCTGAGGGTCCATCTTCTCCAACCTATATGCCTATTAGGTCTTCAAGGGGGCATAGCTTTGCTCAACCCAATACATTTAGGTTTGGTTTTAAAGAAACTGTCCCCTTGAATTGGAGCTCAATTCTCCCATGTCCTGGACTGCAGGAAGCAGGCTCCCATGTCTTCTTAATCCTGAAATGCCAAAAGGCTCCATCCCTCAAGTCATCTTGCTTCTGGCCCCAGTCATACAATGGACCAGGACTAAAGACTGGACATCCAAAATCAGTCTGTGACCATCAACTGTAACCTCCCATTCTCTACCCCCAGACTCAGTCACCCTCTTCAGAACTGCACTCAGCCCTGTTGTCAAGAAACCCTACTCACCCTGATCCCAAGCTCCACATTCTCTCCTCCGTAGACCTCCATGCCTTCATCTAAGAGGCCAATCTCCTGGAAGTACTGCCGATCCACAATAAAGCAGCCAATGAGAGCAGGGCTCCTGCAAGGTGAAGGAGATGGGATAGTGGTGAGTCGAGGCAGGCTCCTAGGAGCTTCCCAAGGAAAAGGAACTTTGTATCAGGGGGATATGCCCTCTCTTTTCACTTGCTTCCAGAGACCGAGTGGCCTTCCGGGTCTTTCCTCACCCAGCCATTCCCAGGAGGCTGTTTATGAAGGCCCTGGGCAGGCAGACAGTTCCTTCCTGAGACCAGCCATTATTCCCTGCTGTGTGTGCTTGTGTGTTTGCCCAGGAAAGCAGTGCTCACTGTGCTGGTTTAGATTAGTGATCTGTCTGGATCTTAGAGCCTGACTTCTAAGCCACAGAGCCAGACTATTTATGCCTGGGCACCCAGGGCCACGTTGCCTGCCATCCCTAACTGAGACTCCACATGTCAACCTTGGTTCACTTAAGAAGATTGGCTGGGACCAGGTTGTATAGGGCTTTGGTAGCACAGTAAATAATTTATAGACTTTATCTGCAGGTAGAGGGGTGTCTATGAGGAATTTTAAGCAGGACAGTGGTATAAACAGATCTAAATTTTTAAAAGGGATACTCAATGGCTGTGGAGTGACTGACTGGGGAAATGAGAGGCTGAGCAGTCCAGTGTGAAGCTTGTAGCCAGCTCAGATGAGAGATGCCAAAGACCTGCAAGAGCTTGGAAGAGATGAACTAAGAGGAGGAGAGGAAGTAGCCTGGGTGCTAATGGGTTTGTGGTCTGGGTAATGGTGAATTAGAGTCATTCAGCCATACAGGGTATGGGGATTATCAGTACAGAATGTGGGGGATGAAGCTGTTTTCAGAAGGGAGCAAGCGTTCCTATCCTGGGACATCAATCTTCTACTGTCTGTGGGGCATCAAGAGGAGAGAGCTGGCAGGTAGCACTTAGATAGATAGTGGGGTCTGGATTAATCAGGGTCTCGGGCTGGAGCATCATTGCAGTGGCTTCTTTTCTTAGAGGGCAAGGCTTGCACACCAGCTCCAGCAAAGGCCTGGCCTGAGACTTCTCTGAGAATGATTCACATTAAGGAAGCAGCAGGAGCTTGTGCGGCTGCTCCTCTGCTGAGAGCAAATGACTCTGAATTGCTCTCTTGCATGCTGCTACCTTTCCTAACTCTTTCCTGGCATTTTATCAGCCCATGGCTGATTCAGTGGGGGAGAGAAAAGGAGAAATGAGGAGTCCTTAGGGATGCAGGAAGCTGTCAGTCAATCACATGCAAATAGACCTGTCTTTGACATTGGAAACTCATCAAGGCGGAGAAAGAACTATTTTGCAGGCTGCTTCCCCTGGGGATGCTGATACAGGAGGTTGCTCAGGCAAACTGGTACTCTAGGTTCATATCATTGCACTCTACTCTAAATTCCTCACCTTCCTGGGACTGTAGATGTACCAGGTATATCATGTCCCTGAAGCAGAATGAGATCCTTTCTGCTGGAGAACACTGGACCCAGGCCTTAGAGGTGAGCATTATGGGACTAATCTTCCATCTAGCTATGCGTCTCTGAAGTACCCCATCCTCTCTGAGGCTTCAAAATCCATCCATCTTTATGAGCTAGAATCAGTAATAACTTCATGTGGACTAAATCAAACAGGGTAAAGCTTTTGAAAGCCTCTTGGACATAATTGGTACTCAAAAGATCATTTCAAAAAGATACTTGTACGTTAAATAAGACAAGAAGATTCCCTTTCTAAATACGGAGTGCTTTAAAACATTGGCCCATCAGAGCAGGGTCTCAGTCTTTTCCTCTGCAATTCTGACGGTTAGCTATAACATGATTCAGAAACAGCTCTCATGGAGCTTGTGGAAGGGGCCTGCAAATGCCACAATCAGCATCTCAGAGGGATACAGGCTACCCTAAGGTAGTCTATTATGTAACTGGCTAGGATATCAAGTGGACCCAATTCGCCTGAAAAGTGTTACTAATTTATAACCTCTTCATTCCAAAAAAAATAGAAATAGTTTATAAAAAAATGTAAGCCAGGTGTAGTAGCTTAAGCCTGGAATCATAGCTACTCAGGAGGCAGAGATCCAGGATCTCAGTTTGAGGCCAGCCCAGACATAAAAATTCATGAGACTTCATCTCAATCAATGGCTCAGTGCGGTGGTTCACCTCTGTCACCCACAGTCACACAGGGAAGCATAAATAGAAAGATCAAAGCCCAGCTGGCATGGGCATAAAGTGATACCTTACCTTGAAAATAACCAATGCCAAAAGAGACTGGGGGGCAGAGCTCAATTGGTAAAGCACCTGCCCAGTACATGTGTATATGGCCCTGACTTTAATCTCCAATATTACACACAAAAAAAGGAAGAAAGAAAAACACTGGAAAATAGAACTAATGACTGCAAAGATGTATCTGGGGACTAGTTAGAATTGGAATGCACGTATAGACCAAGTACTTTCTTCATGTTTCTGAAAGTAGGCCTGGAAACTTGAGCCTGAGCTTCCTGTCAGCTGAGGTGAGGAAATATATACAAGGTCTCAGAAATAAAATCTACCATTCCCATATAAAAATGTAATACCAATTGATTCCTCAAGGATAGCAAGGCTTTCTTAGACCAGCAGTTGATTTGAAAGAAATTTTTCATGTGGATCTTTTCTTGAATGAGGTCACTTGAGGACCCAGTGAACAATCTCTAAGACACTCTTTAGAATAAAACTAGGGATGATTCTGGGCCCTTTTATATCCCCATGTGTGGGTAAAACACTAAAATGCAGTTCCAAAGATACATTTGTATAAACCATAGTCTCTGCAGGGCTGTCTTCATCTACGAATAAAATCAGGAATGTTCTTCAAAACCATCTATAAATGTAATTTTCCTCAATCAAATATTTTTTAAATGATAAAAATGGAAAGATATAAAAGATGAAGTTGATGACATCCTTTGGCAAGGATCTAAAATGTACCTTTGCTGATGATGATCGGCTTATTATGTTTAGAGAGGGGAAGAGAAAGAGCTAATATCCATATAGTATCCTGTAAGAGCTTCCTTTGCTTGGTGGTATGTTTCCATCAACTAGCACTCAGCAGATAAAAGCAGGAGTCAGACACATCAATTCTGTGTCTAACAGTAGCCCAGTAGGGGGATGATGACAAGCCATGGAGTCTGGTTGACCCAGAGGATCCTGGCTACAATGCCCAGAGACTTTGGCAGATGTCTTTTCTCAGTCTTGTACTCTTCATTTTGTAAAACAGTGATGGCACTGCAAGTCAACACCATGTTATGAGGAAGACCTATGAAGGCCAGGCACCAGTGGCTTATGCTTGGAATCCTAGCTACTCAGGAGGCTGAGATCTGAGGATCAGACAAATCTGAGAGGCTTTTATCACCAATTACTCAGCAAAAATCTGGAATTGAAGGTGTGGCTGAAATGGTAGTATGCCAGCCTTGAAAAGGCCAGGTAAGAATACAAGCTCCAGTACCAACACACACACACACACACACACACACACACACACACACACACACACACACACACACACACACACACACACACACACACACAAGAGCATCCAGGTAAGAATACAAGTATAAAACGATTATATATATCAGATTGATAGCAAATATTCAACAACACAGAATTGTGGCACAGGCTTGGCAGAGTTGGCAGCTGCTGTGTTTGAGGGTGTATCAAGAATCTAGGTGTTGAAACTCTGTAGCTTCAATGGTCCAAGCTTCAATGGTAATGAGAGGTTGTGGATCCTTCAGAAGTAGAGCTTACTAAAAGATGATTAAGTTATGTAGGATCACACACAAGAGATTCATGTAGTTCTGACTAGGTCAGATTAGTTCCTAAGAGAACAGATGGTTATAAAGGCCACCAACATATTTGTCCCCCTCTGTGTGTGGGTTTTCCCATTTCTACTCTTGCTATATGATATCATCTGCCTTTATCAGAGGCTAACGAGGTAGCTCAACCCAATGTCACATGTTTAGCCTTCAATACTGTGAACTAAATGAATCTATTTTCATTATAAATTACCTGGCCTCAGGTATTTCATTATACTAACCTGAGACCGACTAAGGAAATAATAGAAGTAACCACAGAAAACAGAAATCTCATACATGTGTAGTTATATTAAAAAAAAAAAAAAAAAAAGAAAACAGAAATCTCTTCCATCCTGTTTTTAATATGAACATATTTTTTTCTTCTGGCAAGGAAAACATAATCTTAGGTAATAATCACCTATTTTCAACTAAAGTTTTCATCATCTTTCTCTGTCATGGCAAACAAAGTAACACTGGTTTCTAATCTCTTTTACTCTAGAAGTGGCCCCCTAGGATATTTCCATTGCCTCCTGTTGTGTTTAACAGGCAAGGAGTACAGCCATACCTTATCATCAATGCAGATAAAAACAAGGTAGGTGGACATAGCTGTGGCAGGAATCCAGACCCTAAAAGCAGAGGCTGCAGTTGGGAGTCATTCAGGGGTCTAGCAGTAAAGACAGAGAATTTGAGGCCTTTTGCTTGTTTGTGTGTTTGTTTATCTGAGTCCTATAAAAGAAAACCCCAACACTGTCAAATCTATAAGCCCTGTGGATCTGATCTGGCCTCTCTGTTGCTCTAGCATAATTGTGTAGGACTGCCTGGCTCACATTTCTCCATCTAGAAACCTCCTTCTGTGGGCGCATGAACTTCCACATGGGTGCTCATTCCCACCCTAATCATCTCTTACACACTCTGCAGGAGAAGCTCATTGGTATCCTGTCTGTAAAGGAACTCAGACTTGCCCTGCCATGGAGCTTCCACCTGCATGCTGGGGTGGGTTTTCTTTGTCTGTCTTCATTTATGCTCCAGGCTTTGGGGGATAGGCAGTAAATTGGACCCTCAGCACTGAGCATAGCAATTGCCACCTAGCGGGTATTTGATGGTATTGTGTCCACATGAGTGATTAGAAGAGTGGGTTTCTGAATGCCATGGCGGCTCTTTTTAAAAGGAATCACGAGGACTGGTTATGGTGGATACACCTATAATTCCAGTTACTCAAGAGGCAGAAATAGGACTGTCTCACTTTGAGGCCAGCGGGGGACCTCAAATCTATCTTAAAAACAAGCGGCGTATGGTAATGTAGAGGAAGGAGAGGTAGGAGAATTGCAATTCAAGGTCAGAGTTGGCAAAAGATTGAGATTCTATCTAAAAACAAGCTAAAGCAAAAAGGGTTGGGAATGTGGCTCAAGAGTCCTTGCCTAGGAAACTTGAGACCTAGTACATAGGTCACAAAGAAACAACTAATTAAATTAAAGAGATCCTTCGAGCCTGAGAGCAGTGACTAAGGATCCTAATGGAACTCCCCTCTGCCCTCCCCACCCTCTGTCTGACACCCATTGGGGCTAGAGTTTAGGGAAGGGCTGGGCTGGAAGTGGAGGTCTTGCTTGGATCCCAAAGTAAAGAGACCCACAGGAAAGAATACTCTACCTGATCGGGGCTGTGGAGTTCTCCAACTTCCACCAGGCCTTGGGGGGATTTAGGTAGCGGCACCACAGCTCCCAGTCAAAGCCCTGGGCGGCCAGCGGGTACTCCTCAATTTCAAAGTTGTCGTATTTGATGTTATCAAAGGATGGTGAGATGATCCGCTTTCGGTTCTCCTTTATGCGAGTGAGCACGGGTTCTGCCCTGAGAGGAAAGGAGAGAGAGGAGGGGGTGACTGCGCCCCTGTGGCTGACCAGGGCAGCAGCCTCTCCTGAGGGTAGTTCCCCAGGAGAAAGAACCTAGGAAGGACCCTCTGTTCAGCTTCTGGTCCTCAGAGGACTTCCAGGTTAGCAAGCAGCTTGGCCACTCCTTTGGCATGTCTAGAACCAGGCTGACAGAGTCTCATCCAGCCTGCTTTGCCTTCCCTTTATTCTCTAACAGAACAAAAATGAAAATGTGAAAGGAAGGAAAAGAAAAAGCTCAAAAGCTATGTACGCATGGCCATATAAGATGATGCTAAGCGAAAAGAACCCCAAGATATGAACATATGAGGTATTTTTTTCTTTGCTGTGGTTGTTTTTAATGTGCTGTGTGATTTTTTTTTGTATGTTCTTCCCTCTGTGCTATACCCCCTGTAGTCACTGTACTTGATTTTGGTACTCTGCATCTTGTATATACATTTATCTAATTTGGGGAAGGGGAAGGGGAATAACAAAATGCTGAAACAAGGACACAGGATGACCCATTGCACCGATGATACTCACAAGACACTATGTTGAAAATGTACCTTTCAATTTTGTGGGGTGGTGGGGGGGAAGAGGGGGGAAGGGATCGTAGGAGAAAAACAAAGGAGGAGGTAACAAAGCTTCACAAAAAATGTACTCATTATCTTACTCATGTAACTGTAAGCCCTCTGTACAGCATCTTTGCAATAAAATAAGATCAAAAATAAAACAAAAAAAGAATGAAGGAACCTACATCTCCTACTGAGATCCAGTGTAGCAACTTGAAAAGGCAGACAAGGAAGGTGGAGGCACATTTCCTCAACTGCCCATGGAGAAATGGGCAACCAGGCTTTTTTAGGGAATCTAGAGGACCCTCTGGGCACCAGAAGAGTAATGTGTTTGCAGACAGGAATGATAAGCTTCTCATTAATAATACATTCAACGCATAATTGTTTATTCAAATCAGCTTGAAATAGTAAGTGTCCCTCTCCTATCCTGGCCATAAATTCAGTACAAATGCTTTTTAAATAGTCACAAATGGCAAGCAGGGACTTCAAGTATAAAAAATGACTCTGCTGCAGTCTTAATTTGGGCCCGTTTATGCCGGCAGCCAGCCCAGGCTGTATGCAGGCCCCAAGAGTCCTTCCTGCCAAAGGATCCTCCTCTCCTGGCTCCTTGGAAAGAGGCAAAGGCTGGCATAGTGGAGCTGGGGAGGGAACAGACCCTGAGGCCAGGAGGCATACTGGGAGAAACACTGGGAACCTCCAGGTCCCAGCCATGCAAGTCATTCCCAGCATCTGTGCTATCCATGCCCAAGTGAAGCCAGACATAGGGGTGGCACTACAGACCCTAGGCCTGACAAGGACATGGGGAATAGAGACCCAGTCAGTGTTCAGTAGCACTGTGGCTTTTGCCTGCTCTCTCTTGCCACCTAAACTGAGAAAGGAAGATTGGTTCATACTTGGTTTCACCAGGCAGGAAGCTCTGGGATTGTGTGCCACAATCCTGGCCCTGTGTACCTGTGGCAACATTATGCTACCTTCATACACCTCTATCATACATCTACCCTATCTCCCAGGTGGGGCATCTGTCACATATCTGCCCCAGCTCTGCTGTGCTGGCTGTTGGACCCTTGTCCTTAGCCAATTACCAGGTACCCCTCTTCCTAGTCCTACCAACAAAGGGACACCACACCAGTCAGTGCTACACCTGATATTGCTACCATATCATAAAGGTACTGTGCTTTGACCCCTCGACCCATAATCCTCCTGCCCTACTACGGGACAATCCTGTTGTCTGTGTCATTCATACACCCACACTCACCAGTCCCCAAGATTCTCTCCCTCCTCCTGCCAATGTCTCCGCTCCCAGCATGCTTTGTACTCAAAGCTTCTAGGCTACCAGGAGACTCTTCCTCACTCACCAGCCTACATTGAACTCCACATGGGCATCGAAGAGTGCCACCACTGGAGCCGTGGCTGCCCTCCAGCCGCTGACCCGGGAGCGGATGAGGCCTTCCTGCTTGCTGTGGCGCACGACTTTGATGAAGCCGGGCTTCTGGCTGTTCACCTTGTCCACGTACTCGGTCAGCTTCTCCTTCAGCTCCTCTGTCAGGGAGAAAATATCTCCTTAGCAAAGTGCGAGAGGGGCAGGGATCAGAGGACAAGCACCATGCACACTATTAGGGTGAACTGACCCTAGAGAGGTGAGAAGACCCACCCTGCCCCTAAGTCTCCACAGTGTCAATGTGGCTCAGTTTTGAAGGAAAAAAAGAGAGGAGAAAACAGTATTTATAGTATGCTAGCCACATGCACAGGTCACAGGCCTCAGACACTGTCTTTAATTTTCACAACAAGATGACAGCAAAATGAGGGCTCAGAAGAGTTTGTCAATTTCTCTTTCTTTCTGGTAGTAAAGATTGAGCCCAGTGTTTCATGAACACCACGCCAGTACTCCACTATTTGAGCTATGTCCCCCAGCTTTTCTGTTTCTACTTTGTTTTTGAGAAAGAGTTTTGATACTTTCCCCCAGGTGGTCTTGAACTCACAATCCTGCCTCTGCCTCCCAAGTCAAGGGCATGTGTGCCATCATCACACTCAGCTTTAAGTGTATCAGTTTCTGTAATACCAGGCAGATCAAGAGTAGCAGATTTTCTCATCAGCTCAGCTGTCTCCATTGTCTGAGACTTTCCATTGCTCCTCCCAGGATCCCAGAGAAGCCCTTGCTGCTGAGATCTCAGCCTGGGGCTGCCTCTGTCTGAATCTCCATCTTTCCAGGAGGTGGGAAGCAGGCATTGTGCCACATGAGCAGGTGCCCTGGGCTGCTGCCCACTGTTGCTATACCCAGCTGAGCACCTAACACTGTACTTCATCATGACTGGATTGGGTCCTTGGCAGCTGCCCCAACCCTTCCACCTGGGAGGACACAAGAAAGGTGTTCATCAAGTTTCCCACAGAGCAGGCCTAGGGAACCTCACAGTCATCTGGGCAGAATTTTACAGTTCACTGGAAGCAGTTACCTTTCTCTCTGTGCAAGCCCCTGTCTGTTCTGATGGTGACCACACAGCCCGTGTAGAACAAGGAATTTCATGTCAACCACCCTTAAATGAGCCACATTAAGTCCTACTTCTTTTCCCTTCTTCTTCCATTAGTCCAGTTGGACAGACTTTTTTGGGACATAGGCACAGACCAAGTCTTTTCTTACATACTGCCTTACAGTTGAAGGCATTCTTAAATTCTCACTGAGGACTACTCTAGGCCCAATACCTTCAATTCCTCTTGATAATGCCTCATAACTCATGATTTCAAAGGTTTTTTCTCAAATTGAACTTCCCCCTCAAGATGTCAATTTTTCTCAAAGGCTTCTAAATTATATGCCCCGCAATTGACTTGAACAACCTGTGCTATACAATACACAAGGAATGAACTAATGGACCCTATGCTCCTGTTAGTGCAGTATAAGGTCCCATAACTCTGCCTCCTTTTGACTCAAGTGAAGCTTTCTGCTAACTACACCTTCAAGTTCTTTTCACGCTGTGCTACCAAGTCAGGTCTGCTTCATGTCATCTCTTCATAGCCATGTGTGTGCCTATGTGTAAGCATATGGGTACAGGTGCGTTTGTGTATGAATGCATGTAAACATAAGGGTGTATATGTATGTATATAGGCATGCATACATGCAGTTATGTGCACATACAGGTTTATATGCATACATGTTCACACACATGGATATGTATACACATGCACATAGTTGGACACAAATATGTACACGAGTATGCATGTGTGTGCAAGAGTGTGAATGTGCACACACCTGTGGATGCTTTAAGCCAAAACATAGAATCTTATATTTGGTCCTATTTAATTCAATGTTTGCAAAGATTTTCATCATTTCTCTGGCTGTCTCTTGATTGTTATTCAATGTCTTTCCTATCTAGCTTTTTCAGCTTTACAGCTTTTGCAAAAGTGATACGTATCTGGTCTTTATTCCAGCCATCATTTGGAACAATGTGGCCTTTGTCCTAAAAGGTAGGTCCTGGAGAAGGCTGTCATTAATACCTTGTGGTCTCTCTACCCTACATGAAAATAACCTGTGATGGCCACAACTGATTGAGGGAGGCATGGGAACAGCCCTACTTCACAGGACACTGGCCACAGAATCGCACCAGTCAGTACGCTCTAAGCTCCAAGGTCTACAAGCCAGGTAGCAGCAGGCTTCCTAAGACACAGTCTTCTTCAGCCCTCATGTATCTGCTATGAAGTTCTCAAATGGAGCTGAGACCACCTGAGATTCAGACTTTGGATGATAGCAGTGAAATAGGTCCTGCGCAGAGCTTAGAGGAAGAACATGGCTGGTGCCCTGTGACATGATCTAGAGCCCCTCACATCCCAAACAACAAAAGGAACTGTTTTTCCTCATATATAAACACAAAACCATGTAAGGTATTGTTCCCTCCCCACTTCCCAGGTGAGATTGCTCACTGCTCATAGGATATCCTTATGTAAGAATAAGGCATTAAATAAATACAAACTATATGTATTTGTACATATATATATATATATATATACATATATATAATAGAACTAGCTCCATAAAACATAATTTGTCTCTTTTTCCTTAGACCTAAACATGAGCACAAAATTCATCATATTCTCTTTTTTTTCAAACTCATGATCCTCTTGCCTCATCTTCCTCGTTGATTACCTGCATGCGCCACCACGGCTGGCTCCCTTTTTTTTTTCAAAGACTGCTAGGAAGCTCAAAGATAAGTAGAATGACCGATCACAAGAGTTCAATCAGTATTTTTGCTTTCCTACTGATAGTAAAGCTTTGGTTTGTTTTTTTTTTTTTCAAGCTCCAATTTTAAAGCTGCATTGCTTTGTACCCTTTTCCCTATGTAAACTGCATTTATTTTTAAAACCTATAAATAATCTTTCATAACATGTCAGAGAAGGGCAGGACAGGAGCATCACTATGATGGGCAAGGGACAGCCATATTTTGTGTTTGTTTCCATATGCTGGAAAAGGGAGTCTGCTTTTTGGTGATTTGTGCCAGATTTAGAGTCAAGAGGAGCAGTCCTTAGCCAGTGTTGACAGAGAAACAGAATTTGCACCCTGCATGAGCTCAAGTGTCCTCCTGCTGGCTAGGGCGGGGCCGGGTGGGGGGATCCCATCAGCCTCTCCTACTGTCACAAAGCCTCCTTCTTCTAACATCCAGGAGATCTCTGTAAACTGGCACCTGCAGAAGCAGTGCTGATGAGATACCCCTGACCCCACAAGGGAGAGGGAGAGGGAGAAAGAGAGAGGAGAGGAAGAGGGACAGGAGGGCCAGGGTACTAATATCTCCTTCATGAACACACTCTCAATATCCTAACTTCCTCCCATTAAGTCTCACTTCCTAGATTCCATCGCCACCCAATAGTCACACAAACTGGAGACTAAGGCCCTTGGATATTTAAGAACTGTCCCCTGGAGCTGCTTTGATCTGTTCCTTGCAGTTCCCTAGCTGTCTTCCACATGAGCCACTACTTTTTGCCCCCTCTAGCCATCCATCCTCCTCCGTACCTCACATTACCTAGTTGCTAAGTATAAACACCCCACTCCACTCCTTCAGAGAAGGGCTGGTAATTGCCAGTCCCAATGGTGCTAATTTAGAGATTAAAGGCACAGCATTTTCTTTTTATTCCTCTAAGAATGAACAGAATCAGGTCTTCCTCAGATCAGAGGATTAACTAGCTTTCCTCTAAAGCCATTTAGGGCCATTGAAACACAAATGCTATGTCAACACACTTTAAAAGAGATATTTATTCCTAAGGATGAAACAATTATGCTGACCATCCACAGCCCTGAGGTAAGAAGACAGAAAGAAGGTGGCTCACCCACAGTAAAGAATCAAATGGGGGCTCTGGACTCAAAGGGCCTCATTGAGACCCCATATTGAGCATGTTCAAGCAGCAGGGATTGCAGCATGCACTGTGAGCCTGGGTCTTAGCTTAGAACATCTTGATTTGTGCTTTCTTCTCACACAAGACAAGCTTCTATCTCTTGGGCAGTTTATAAATGCCTTCCTTGGATTCATTCTTCTGTCTTCTACACTTAATGGATACACTTCTGTCTGGCCCTCTTAATAGCTACACCTCTTCAAAGTCAATTGATATTGAAGGAGATTTGTCCTTAAATAGTCCCTTCAGTCAGAAGGCTGATCTGGCCATTTATGATAAGGACCTGGGGAGTTAGATGCTCCATGAAGGAGCCCACAGATGCCTGTAAAATCCATCCACAGAGTCTGATCAAACAGTATTAACAGTCATCCCTGGAGGTTACAGCATCAATTCAGTCTGATCAAGTTACAGAAAGTCCTGAGATTACCACCAAACAGCCCCACCATGTCACCTCATGCTTTCTGGTTTCCTCTTCAGTATCTCAGAGGTGTACCAGTGACCACCAAAACCCACTAAAAATATGCACTACAAACTTACCGGAGACCCCCAAAGCCAAGCTTTCAACCCCACTAACACCATCTACCTGCTATAACATTGTTTATTTTCTCCATCATCTGTGCCCCACAATAATATTGTCAATTGAAGTTTTGAAGATGCCTGGGTCAAAGGATATGAAAATGTTCTTCTAGCAGGCAGAGATGATGTGTTGAGTTCTAATTGAAATGTCACTCTCATTATAAAACACACCTAACATTTGCCAATGTCTGTTGTGTAAACACTCCCCTATAGCTGATTCAGACTACTAGCCTGATGCCACTGACTCTGAGCGCTGGGGAAAGAATATACTGGATTCATCAGCTTATAATGGTAAGGCAGCCCCAGCCCTAGTCCAGTGCTCAGAGCAGGAGGTGACAGTCAGTGGACACCTCCACCACTTACCATCAATCCCTCCAATTCTTTCTCCATCATTCAACTATATATGATATGGATGTCAGGTACAAGACACTGAGGTCTGCACCTCACTGCCTCCCTGTGGACAATGGTATTCATAGTTAATACTCATTCCTTCAGTACCACAATATGACTTGCTTTAATATGACTTGCTACGGTTTGAGTTATAAATGTCCTTCCAAAGGCCCATGTGTTGAAGGCTTGGACTACAATGATGC